CTTCAGGGACTTTAATTTTAATAGGAGAATTTGCAGCTGAGATATAATATTTAATTTTGGATCAACAAATGCTTCTGGCATTTGACTTGAATTATCTTCTAAGTGAGGATCATATTAATGATAATTCGATTCATATAGCATATTTTTCAGTTGTTTTATTTCATCCCCCAAATATTAGAAAAACTAACTCATATCTCCAATCTTCTTTGGAAAACATATTTTTGTGCATTGTGGTAGAAAAAATAATCATATACCACGCATCAAAAGTTATTAGATAGTAAAAATATTTGGTTTTGATCCTAAACCAATTGTGAGGGGAGGACTTATCATATTTTGTTGGTCTGATGCATACAAGTGCTGTTGTATGCAATTTAGAAAATCTTAGACCGACACATGAGGCTTTGTTCTCATAGGCAATAGTTTATCCATTAATATGAGGTATTTAATGCTAAACTAGCTTAGATATAAACCAGCATCATCAAGATGAACTATCTTGATTTCATAATCTAAAAATTATGCTCTTAATTGAGAAAGACAATTTCAAATGCCAAACTACAGGGTGACGATAAATATACATGTAACCATCTTATATATGCATCTATAAGTGGTTCACATGATATGTAAATGGGCACATATTCACCTTTTATATATTCTAGAATTCGGGGATTTTAGTCCCAACTTTAACTGGTATAATCAAGTTATTATGAGAACAAGCAACACAAGAGAATTCTTGAAGAATCTTCTAGTTTTTCAGTATATGTTTATCTGAATTATCAAATAGCTCATTTAAAAATGGCAAATGAAAACTTCAAGTTTATCATGGCATGTGCTATCTCTAAGTAAACTTCTGATTTACTATGGCATAAACTTTTGCATCAGTAAACTTCTGATTTACTGTGGCTACTTTTGTATCAGTAAATTTCAGATTTACTGTGACTACTTTGCATTAGTAAACTTATGGTATATTATGATACATGATGTAGTACACATTTGAAGAATAAGACAGGTATCTTCTCATATACATATTTACCCCATATGATTGTGAAAACATGAAGATTTTCAATCTTTCAATCATTTGTAGTCTCAGTATGATAGTCATGTGTATTAGTAAACTTCGGTTTATCATAACATATGTTTTGACCACAATAATGACAAATAAGCTATTCGGGCCTTTTATTTATTGTCCACAACTAAATATTATTCTATACTTGTGTCATGTGTCTTTTAGACAAACAGTTAGCTCTTCAGGAGCTTTTGTTGTACTACCAAATATTGCTCAGACACTTCTGGTGTCATGAGAGAAAATCATAATCAAATGAACAATATAAAGCTAATTCTAAATTTATAAATGACGAAAATTAAGAATTTTAACATTTCTACTACTAACTTTGTGATAAATATCTCCTTCAAGGAGAAATATCATTAACATCTGAATATTTTGTATCAATACGGTAACCACATAGTCATTGCATCTTTTAAGGAAAGATACACGAGTTGCTATTTTCTTCGGGGAACTCAATAACTAACCATAATATATTAATGTGGTTGTAGTAGAAAGCATTCTACAAGAATGCTTTTGCCTTAGAATGATTTAATAAAATTATCCAAGATGTTTTACGTACATAAAGGAAGTGTGGCAATGATCTTTATGCTACAAAAATAATATTTATATCCTCTATTATTCTATCTCTCCAGGATGTAAGTTGTGGTATTTTTTTCATTCACTCCAAGAAATGAAAATGTGCTTCAAAAATAACTTTGAATAGCTCATTATTTTGCTTAAGCACATAAAGATACTGCTTCAAAATATTTTCCTACTTCAGGAGGAAATTTCAATTGTGTTACTTCTTTAGGAGCAAATTTAAAATACGAAATATTAAGTATATATTCTCTCAATCATATTAACTCTTCTGGAGGTGAATTGTAATATATTTACAACAAGAGCGCGTTCATATTTACGACTTTATTAATATTATCACATTCACTTCAGGGAATAGATTAATATTTATCAAAAATTCTCATCCTTCAGGAAATCGAACATAATTATCTGAACGCGCATTAATCACATCAAATTGTGATGCTTCAACCTCTTTTAAAATATTTACTACTTCAGGAGCAAATCGAGGCGTGAGAATATTTCTCTAGTTTATCTTTAATTGTAACCATAGAAAGCTCAAATTGTCACTTCTGGTGGTCATATGCATATACCATTTCTGGTGGTTAACAAAATTTAGTTACAATGAGATATACGAAATATAACCACTTCTGGTGGTTGTATATTTCTTGCAAACTCTGTTAGAGTTTAAGTGGATCTAAAAATATTATCCACTTTGTAATCCTTTATTAAGATAATAAGGATGAAAACAAATACCAAAATAGGTAATGTATACGTAACATATAACCAAGCAAGCGATGATAAAGATATTAAAATATAAGCAAAAGATTCAAATTAAATTACGCAAATTTGGCCACTATGTAAGTGATATCTACATCACTACTGCCAAGAAGAAAAACTCACCACCTCAAGGATATAATCTGTCTTATGATACTCGGAATGAACAAGATCTGTCCACGGATATAAGAGTGTCGCCTTACATCAGAGATGAACACTGAAATAGAAATTAAATTCGATGTAAGTGCTCAAAATGGCAGAGTCTCGTGATGATAACATGTTATAAAATAAAGACTATAAAATAAATAATCTGAAGACAAGTATAGAGGGAGATTGATATTTTATTCAACTTTCAAAGTCATGTTCATAATGAACTGAAAAACTCCTCTATTTAAAGAAGAAAGGAAGCAGCTGCGAGATTTTTCAGGAAGCAATTGCAAGACTTTTCTTTAGCTGCTTATAAGCTGTCTGCATGAGCTGCTTGCAACATGTCTGTTTAATAAGAAGCTGCTGCAAATCATTTCATTGAGTTGCTTGCAACCTGCCTGCATCAGCTGCTTGTAAGCTGTCTGCATGAGCTGCTTGCAACCTACCTGTTTAATAAGATGCTACTGCAAATTATTTCATTGAGTTACTTGCAACATGCCTGCATCAACTGCTTGTAGATAAAATTCAACAGAGTACTAAATGGATAATCTTCTTATCTATAGCGAAGTAATGAATGGACATCCACAATATAATATTTTTATAACAGTTGTTAAGTTGTTGTTATTTCTACTATATAGAAGAGCAAGTTTTTCGACATGTCTGCTTAAGTGTCATTTTAATTTTATCTGAGGACATTCTCGACTTTTCGCAATACTTCATGCAACGTGGCTTTAACCCTGTTACTGAGTAGACACGTATCATTGGCCACTTCTTGCTATCTGTTCATTAGGGCTGCTTATCGGGCGGTTATTTACTCTTAACGGTTTGGCTTATCGGTTATCGACTTTTAAATGTATTAATCCGCTAGCCACCCGAGAAGATATCGGGCGGATTGGTATCAGTTTAGCTATTATCGGGCGGTTATCGGTTTAGTTTCAGTTGATTGAAATTTAACATACTTCAGCACAATCAACATTTCTCATACATTCAACATTTCTCATGCATATATATCAACTACATTCAGGTGGATGGTTATCGTCTCATGCATAAGAATGTGGACTGCTTGGGGTATTAGAAGATGGGGACTGCTTGCGCATAAGAATGCATAGTGCTGTTAGCACAGCAGCCATAACAACTTTACCAACAAAATTGCTCTTCTTCTTTGGATCTGCATAATCTAGGCCTACAATTAACAAAGAAAGTTGATGTTTTAGACCCTAAAAACAAGTATTGCTCACAATACTGAAAGAAAATAAAAGACAGCTGACCACATTGTCATACCACCAGCACAAACATATCCAAGGACCAAAATTGAATTGTTTTACACTTGCATCAACTATCAATATAATACTTCAACAACCTAAACCAAACATAACTAGTTCAATTGTAAGTATTTACGTCATAATGAGTTCTACCCTAGTACCATAAAAATTTGACCAGGAAATAAATTGTAAATAACAAGCAAATCAGATATCTGTAGTATATTGTATGAACTTTAGAATATCTTCTCACCAAACTCATAGATAGGATAGTTTAGAATACTTTAGAATCAGATAGCATGAGTGTTAACATGAGTATCTGGTGATACTATAAACCTGCACTTATCATGATAGACAAAGCTATTACATATGCTTCACAAAGCAATAAACCTGCACTTATCATGGTTATATTTGACTCTGTTATTTCAGCTTGACTTATTGCATTTGACTTAGAAGCTCCACTTTCACCCATCACCTTATGACTTTGTATATTTTCAGCCATACTACAAATTAAAGAACTATCTGCAGAAAGATACAAGATCAAATTAAGACAGAACAATAGTTAGTTTGAGAAAATTCAATTAAAGATTCTGCTAATAAGTAATGGAAAAGCTATCCCTATTTATCAACTCATATAGAAAAACTTTATTCTTTAACTGAATATCAACCAAATATTTATCAACTCAAATATTATCCAGGCTTGTGTTATAACATTCTTTAACTGAAAATCAACCCGATTTTCAATTGAAGTGAAGAAACAAATGATTAGAATTGATTATGAATCTTTAACTTGCAAAGCATGCCCCTACATTTTTTAACTTCCTCTTTCCTTCTTCCTTGATCTGCTGGCTATGCTTGTGTGCGACTGTGCGTGGTTGTTGTTTGAGAATTTCTTGCTAGAGGGATAGGCGAGAGGGGCCAGAGGGCTAGCTGTTGGGTTTAGAACTTTAGATGCTAAGGTTTCTAAAGGGGACTATTGTAAATGTTAAATGTTAATCAAGTGGAGAAGGAAAAATTAGGAAATAAATCTAAAGGGAAAGTAGGTGTTCCACTAAAACTAAAAAGATAAAAAATAAATATAGTAGTAATATGGATAAATATATATATTTTTAACGGGTTATTGGATTATCCGTTAAGAAAATTAAATAATCCGCCCCCAAACCGATAAGCCGTTAATAAAAAAATTTTAATACGTTAGACCGTCCGTTAAACCGTTAAACCGATACCAATAAGCCATTAAGCCTCTTTTGCGGTTTGATTTTCGGTTTCCGTTTGATTTTGAACACCCGTACTGTTCATCGCCTTCTTCTGCCTCTCTATCATCTCTATTTCATCTTCCCATGTTGCGATTTTGCTGATTTTGGCATTTCAAGCAATATATAATGAATTACCCATTGGGCTATGTTGGTTGCTCTCGGTGCTTTGAATCCAGACCTGTTAGAGCTGACGAGACTATTTCAGTTTGCGGAACCGATTGGGGTTAGAGCTGACGAGACTGTTAGATCAAGGATGGTATCTTTCATTTATGTGTTATTGCTAGATTTCCCCTTGTTAACAGGTGATTCTACCAGTATCTATTGATATTATGAGTTCTCATATCGCACATGCTTCAGCTTTGGCTAATTTACGAAATCCAAGTTATCATCCGCCGAATTTCTGACCTAGATCTTGGATCCATTAAGGTATTCACATAGTTCAAAAGTTTGTTTTACTGCTCCTTTTTGTTACTTTTATCTTTCTTTAACCAGTAATTGGTAACGCTAATACTAATATGTAGCCTGCTAAATGAGTAATGATTTCAAATTTTATTGAACTGGATTTCAGCTATTTCAATTCTATTTATTTTTGCAATTAAAGAATATACAATATCTGAGGCCAATTGTATTCAACCGCTCGTTTGAGTTGTTTGAGACAAGTGACTGTAATTATCAAGGTTGTGCTTACTATGTTTATATTCTCGCATCAAACACTCTGTTATTGTTGTATTACAACATAATATAATTCCTAGACTCTTGGTGAATAATTTGTGTTTGAAATGTTGGCTGGTTTTATTGTTGATGTTCTCCTCCAAGCAGTGTTTACAGCACTGTGGGTAATCTTGACACTTAGTTCCTTTCACAATATATTGTCCCCTTTTATGGAAACTTTATTTGTTGATCTGACTTGATAAGCAGTAGCTTTTGATAGGTATTATCATGCATTTTGGTGATTATGTGTGACACCCTTCCTGCCTGGGAAGGTTATGTTTTTCCCAATAGCATTTGTCAAACCAAAATTATTAACTTGTTGAAGAGCCTCGGTAAGGGAGCTTAACCCCAATGAAGAATAAAAGGAGAGCAAAGTGTCATCAATGGCGCGCGTAAGGAGATTGAACTCTTTGAGACTAAGCGGTTCATGCTGGCACATCACTCTATGCCATTGGATGTATATATATGTTGGCGCAAGAACGGTCACGCTCTTTAAACGCCATATAAGAAGAAGAAGAAGAAAGAGGCTTAAATCATCGCTTCCAATCACGTTTATTCTAAGTCCACAACAGAGTGATTGTACCAGCAAAAAGTTATTCAGAGCTGCTATTGTGTGTTGACAACATCGTTGTCCGTGATATAAGAGTAGCTTGCTTATATAGCTCTTGAATGTCAGCACGAGCTTGAAACTGCCAAGGCAAACTCCTCCATTGAACACATATATACATGAGTGTTATGCCTGAGATAAAATATTCACAAAATTTGTCTTTGAAGATGGACAGCTGCATTTAAAGACTGCAATTGAAGAAAAATTTAACATGAAATTCTAATTTCCTGAAATGTTCATAAGAAGTACTTTCATCATAGGCTTTAATTAATGACTAATGTTCATCTGAAGAAGAGACTTTTTATCTTAGCAATGACTATTTTGACTACGTCCTACATGAAATTCAATCTCCTAAAATGTTTATAACTACTTTCATCACTGGCTTGTAATTAGTGACATGGATGAAGTTGGTGATTTCATGTAGCTATTACATGTTATAGCAGTTGAAGAAGGCAAGGAGGTTCCATGTTATGGTCAGCAAGCAAGAATGTAAATGTCTCTGTGAAATGCTGTTATGAAGTACTGAGAAAATAAGTAGGTGATTCTGAAATTCACTGGCCTTGGAAAATGCTGTGGAGAACTAAAGCGCCATCTAAGATTGTATGTTTTTGGTAGATTGCCGCGCGTGGCGCATGTCTTAACTTGCAGAGGAGAGAGTATAACTTATGCAATAGATGCTTTTTTGTGAGAATTTGACACTGAAATAATAAGCCACTTGCTTCTGCATTGCAAACACACTTGGATAATATGGACTCTATTTCTAAATATATTTTGGGGTGCATTGGGTGATGCCACAAAATTTTAAGGAGCTACTTGACAGTTTGCAGGTTCAAGGCAAGGATAGAATGTTGAAGAAGACGCGGAAGCAAATTCCCTTATGCATCATATGGACAGTTTGACTTGACAGGAACAAGAGCTGTTTTGAAAGAAAAATGAGTCCTTTTCTGTTGTGAAGTATATATTCAGATTTATCTTGCTGGCTTAGAGGAGAACATGTTGTTAGCATCTGAAAAAGAAACTTTTTATCTTAGCATTGGTTGAGTAAATTCCAGATTAAATTGTTGGGCCCGTGTTGTTCACGGGCCATGCACATCTATTAATGTTATAGAAGAGCTGGGAGTTTCGACGTGTCTGCTTCATGTCATTTAAATAAAACTGAGGGTAATTTAGACTTTTCATTAACCCGTATGAGCTGCTGCTCTTTTCCGATGACATGAATCCTCTTTCAATTTTTCCTCCTAATATTTATCGCTTTCGCTTCTGATTTTTTATTCAAATTTCTCCATTTTGATTCCAGCTTCTCTGTGGCATATGCTGCTTATGTATGTCTATGACCTCCTGTTTTATGGATTTCTTTCTTGCTTGCTATCTGTTCATCGCCTTCTTCCGTCTCTCTTTCGTCTCTATTTCATCTTCCCATGTTCGGATTTTGCTGATTTTGGCATTTCAAGCAATATATAATGCATACCCATTGGGCTATGTTGGCTGCTCTTGGTGCTTTGAATCTAAAACTGTTAGAGCTGACGAGACTATTTCATTTCTTGGAACCTATTGGGCTTAGAGCTGACGAGACTGTTAGATCAAGGTTGGTATCTTTCATTTATGTGTTGTTGCTAGATTTCCCTTTGTTAAACATGATGCTACTTAGCTATTGATAATTATCAACAGGAAAACAAAACAAAATTCTCTATGTCCACCTTCAAATCAGGGGCTAAATGAGGGAAAGAACTCACTCGGTAGAGAAATTTAAGAGAATAGCAACTGAGAGATCAAAATGAACTGTCGATCGGATCGGAAAAGTCAGCTTCACTAGGTGAATGATTATGCCTGTAAGAACAATAAAAATTTATATGTATTCCTCTGAATTTTTAATTGCTTTTTGTAATCACAAAAAAATGAAGATTTGACGTTCCTAAATTTTATGAGGCCAAATATTTCACATAGAAGCTGAACTCGCACTACCAAATGAGAACTAGCAGTTCTGTTTCTTAGCCTGTTCAAGATTGCAAGCAGATCTTTACAAGAACTACTTCACGGAGATAGTTTTACTGCACTAACTGTCATCGATCCACCCAGCTTATAGTACCCAGGTAAAATACTACAAGATTCATCGACACAACTGTTTCCAGTTTAATATGATCTATTTTTCACCCATCACAAATGCAATATTGTTATTTTTCTTAGATAGAGGCTTAGGTCAATACGTTACATGTGTCTTCTTCTCTTAAAACTTTTAGAAGTCGTGAATGGTGCTTTTACTCTCAGGAGTTCAAAAAAGATAACACATCGTATGAACTGCAAAAATATCTCCTTGGATGTTTGGCTTTGTTTGAGAGAAATAGGGGAAGAGAGTGAAAACATGAACACATTACAGAGCAAAGTGAGTAAAAACCAACGGTAAAAAATGGATGTGTCCTTTTTATTTAAAGCGTTTCTATAGATTCTTGATGTTTTTACTTTCCTTCTTTCAATTTCCACATTCCCAGCACTCTTTCTGTTTCCGTCTGAAATTTGTCTTCTTCTAGAAGGGCATAGAGGTCCCAATTTCTTGCTTAGCTCATTATACGAACAACAGTAATGAACACTTACGCAGTTTTTGTGTGTCATTTCTATATCTATCATTTGATATATTGCACGCGAGCCTGAATTTTCATAGGCTCAACTTGATTTCAGACGATCCTGCAGCAAAAATGTTACTTCTCACTCCGTAAGAGATTTATGATATATGTAATGTGAGGTACGTATTGCTCTTAAACTTCAAAAAGCCACAAACAAGTAGCTACTGCAAGATGACCGTCTTTTGATACATAATAACTAATGTCATCCTTCTAGAAGCAAATTTTGCCCCTTGCGAACGTCCAAATAACTGTCTGGCAAGATATTCAATATTCAAATGAAAAAGATGTTTACTAAGAATCAGGATGCAATATAGAAAAGCTATTTGTTTTGTCTTTTATGGACAAAGATAATGTGATCAACCCACAGATGGCATCCATTACCATGGACGTTGCAGCGGGAAGCAAACATAAAATAATACTCATCGGTATAGAGGAAGGAGAGGACCGCCACACAACACAGGCAATACTTCCTACCACAAGCATAAGCATGGGATGGAAATAAAAATTCCTCCCTCGAAAAAGTGCTGAAAGGTATTTACTTCTTCCTACATTCTTCATTTCTATTATGCTGCTTCTTGGCCTTCACTTGGTTTCCGTCTAAAGTTTCTCCATTTGGTTACAATTCGTCTCTGTTTCTCTCAAAATCTGATTGTAAATATTTTTTGAGTAAAGTATGCAATGTTCAGTTGGGGTGTAGAATTTACGGATGATACCAGCTCTTCTATAATATTAAAATATGCATGTTTGTGATATACTGTTGTTTCTGGTGTGTGTTGATTGTTTGGAGAGTAAATGGGTTCTTCGATGATGAACTTGGCAGTAGAATTGTGATTCTATTTTCTTCGAGATTACTGATATTGGATTCTTTCTGCTTATCAAGTTTTTCATATTTCTTTGTATATTCCACACATGAGTGAATATTTTCCAAAAGTAGCAATGGAACGTAGAAGAATTTTGGTGCACTCAAGGCGTTTGACCATATGACTGAAACGAGTTATTTTTTTTCCTTTTCTGTTTCCATAGGTATTCTGCAACATACACATCCATCATCCACTGAGTCAAAAGGTACATTATTTACTTCTACAAAATTAGTAAATTATATAGTGTGTTATTTGTTATGTGCCAGTGTTAAAGAAATAATTCTTTGAAAAATATTCCATTTGCTTCAAGTATATCTCTATTGCAGTGTTACTACTATTTGTTTAACTTTTTATCAACAACAAAAATTAGATGTAACTTATCACCACTTCAAAAATGTACTAAATTATAAATAGTTTGACAAAAGTTACAAGCTTTTAGATCACAAATCTACATACAAAGATACTACGGATTGACTACAACAACAACAACAACAACCCAGTATAATCTCACTAGTGGGGTATGAGGAGGGTAGTGTGTACGCAGACCTTACCCCTACCCTGGGATAGAGAGGCTGTTTCCGATAAACCTTCACTCCCTCCCTCCCTGGGGGTAGAGAGGCTGTTTCCGATAGACCTTCACTCCCTCCCTCCAAGAACTCCCCACCTTACTCTTGGGGTGACTCGAACTCACAACCTCTTGGTTGGAAGTGGATGGTGCTCACCACTAGAGCAACTCACTCTTGTCATACTACGGATTGACTACCTAAATCTTTAAAGAAGAAACAATGACAACTCTCTAGATACATGCTTTTAGGACCTTCAAGTATCTTTTATCTCATGTTAATGTTTATTAACTAGGACAGGTTCTCTTGTGTATATTATCAACAAAAAAAAAGGTTCTCTTTGTGGTATACTTGGTTTTCTCATCATCTCTGTAGATAATGTTAGTGGTTGATGCTTTTGAATGAATTAGTCAACTGTAGAAAGTGAAAAACAAATTAAAGAGAGTGAATCAGAATAAGAGAAGAAGAGAGCAATGGTGCTTGGAACAGGAGTACCAGCTTCCTAAAAGAGATATTGCTTTCTTCTTTTAGTAGCGTCAAATGCTGGGGAAGGCTTATAATAGGCTCTGATGGTATATGGGATGCTTTATCATTGGATTTGGCAACATAGTCTTGCAGAGCTTTACCGACAAAACTTGCTGCAAAGATAGTTGTGAAGGTGTGGAGTAGGTTAACAAGTTTAAAAGTCCCAATCAATTTAGTGATTACTCAAATCAGTTCACTATCATGGTGCTGAAATTTCTTTTTATGTCACATTGTTTGGATTTTCTTAGTCTTATGATAACCTACTTTATCAAGCCTTAGGCCTGACTTTGACGGTGATTCACTAGAAGCTTTAGTTTCTACTACGTAAAAGGGCTTTAGCAGCATCTCCTGACTTTTAGTACTAAAATGTGAAGGAAATATTATATTTATGAGAGCAAGGAAAAAAAAATCATAGACAGGTGAAAGTTTTTTGCTAAAAGAGCTAGACCTGAAGCTAGAGTAATTAACTTGGCATCAAATTTGTGCGGAGCTCTATATATTTTGAATCACAGGTGATTATGTGATTTCACATGTAACATATTGTGTTACAGATGAAAATGACGAACATTGAATATGAAGTCACCTGTAGAGTTTTTGACCAATATTGTCCCTTATCTTTGAGGGTAGGTCTATTTTGGTCCCTCAAATATAACCCCGGGCATATTTAGTCCCTTAAGTATGCTAAAGTGAAGCACCTTTAGTCTATTCACTAACACAAAATGTTCAAAAACTAACGGTGTTACCCAACTCTGATTCATGAAGCAAAATGTTTCCTCTCCTTTTATTGGATTACACAAATTATCACTTTAATTCTTTATTTTTAGATAATGTCTTCTAAAATTTTGACCTTGAAAATATCCGCTTATGTGCCAGTTTTCAATGAGAAAATGACACTATATAGCCGCTATAAAAATAATAGCCAAAAAAATGTATACAATTTGTATATTTACTGATGGAAATTGATTTAATGTTGAAGTCGCTGGTATTCTGGAGACTTCTGAGCATTGACTTCAAAAGTTGTGCTACAGGTTTTTGTGGTACCTTAAGTTGTTCTAAGGAGTTCGTCATTCAGTGTTTTCCTTTCCTACTTGAATTTTATTGACAAACAATTCAATTCAGCTCTGTTTTTCCTTAATTCATCCTTAATTCAAGCCAACTCAATTGCCTATATCTTGAAAATACAGGTGTTAATTGCCTAGATTTAATGGCTATGTCTGACTCAGTGTTGTAAATAGCGCTCGCTACGTCACTAATAGCGAGTAGCGACGCGAAGCGAGGCTCAGACTTTTTTTTGGTCTGTTGCGATGCGTTTTTAAAAAGCGCCGGCGAGGCGACAGAGGCGTTGTTTTTTGAAAAAAAGAAGGCTTAAATAAAAATTAGGGTTTTCTCGACTCCCAGGTACCTCTTTCTTCTTCTTTTCTTCTTTTCTTCTTCTTTTCTCTTTCTGTTTTTTTCCGGCAGTAAGCCTCTGTTTTTCCGGCGTCTTTTCCGGCAGTAAGCCTCTCTTCTTTCTTCTTTCTTTTCTTTTTCTTTTTCAGGTATTAAGTCTTCTTTGTTCTTCTTCTTCTTCTTTCCGGCAACAACTGATTTCCAGCCGAAATATTCTTTCTTTCTTTTCTTTCACCTCTGTTTTCGCTTCTGCTCTTCTTTCTTCTTCTGTTTCTCTTTTGATTTTTTTTTTCCAGTTTAGTAAACAATTACTTGCATATTAACTTCTCTCTATAATTACAATTACAATTAACTGTTATTTTCTCTCTTTAATTACAATTAATTTCTCTCTATAAACAGTATATTAAAATATTTGATTTCTATCTATTGAGTTTTTGAATTTATATATTTATTAATATGACTGTTGTTATTGAATTTTTAGTTATTTATATATGCAAATTCAATATTTTATTTTTTTGTATTAATTGGCGTTTCACATAAAAAAGGCGAGCGCTACGCTTTTCGCCTCAGTGAAGCGGTCCGTCATCGCTTTTTGTCGCCTCACGCTATTCAAAACATTGGTCTGACTTCTTTATCAGCATATAGCAGGAACACCTAAATTAGTTGGGATGCAGAAGGACTATAGGGTTCTCTTCATGGTTGATGATTGAAGGATAAGTATAAAGGTCTGCAGAAAGTTATTAAGGATGTGCCTGAAGACAAGGTTGACAAGGTCGTTGTTTCTGATTGTGTCACTGTTCTTAGTGTTATTTTATTATTGTTGCATGTGGAGACTTGTGAAGGCTAAAGCTCTAAATAGTTCTAGTAAGAAGATAATATAAATCAACCCACACAATGCCATGGACTGTGAATGTTTATCCTTAATATTGTAGACAATAATGATAAGTCAGTTATGAAGGTTTTTTCCTGTTGCTGCTTGAGACTGCTTTTCTCACCTTAGCTTTCAGCTCTAATTGTCCCAACGCCTATGTTAATAGAATTATATGATTCTGAAATTTGGTTGAATTTTTATGAGGATCTAGAGATGCTGTTATAGTTCCTTTAATTTTTGTTCTTGCGTGAGCACATTTGGAAGTGACTCAAACGTGTGAGTTTTGAAAAAATAATGTATCTTTGTTAAAACAACAATAAGGATTTTTGGAAGTGGTGAAAAGTAAATATTAGCAAAACAAATATGCAGAATCAATTGATATATCTATTATTTGGTAAGTATAAACTCTCGCTTTATATCTGAGAGTTTTAGCAGGGACTGCCAAGGATGTGTTTCAACTTTCAACCTTAATGCTTGTTTTGTTGTTACTGAATCAAGTAGGTTCTGTTTCCTTTTGCTTCGTATTATTGCTATGCTTAAATCAACAGAGATTTAAGTTGATCTTTGTTCGCATGAATTGAAGTGTTTAAGTTGCATTGTTGTTAACATAAATCGTGCTAGAGTCTCCAAAAATATTGCTATACTTAAGGGTTTAATAAGTAATGTTCATTGATATTGTCAAATAGAATTTAGACTACAACAATAGATAAAATATTCCTATCGAGTCTAATATGATAATCCAAAAACTAAAATGAAAGTTGTTATAATCAATTAAATAATTTAATAATGTAAACATTATTTACCATGTGTATGTAATTTACATCATATTAATATATTGACAATATTAAAGGAGCATACGTGTAATTAGATATTTTTGGATTGGATAAGGCACATGTCTCCTCTTTTCTTTTCTTTTTTTCTTTTCTTTTTGTCTTTTTGGGTTAATAAGCACGTCTTATCCTGGCACTACATTCTAGACTCTAGTTACATTGAACAGAAGAAAACGTTTTAGATATGAATCACCAAAAGAAAAAGGTCAAAAGTTCAATGCCGACCTTACTACAATTATTGGCATCACTAGGGGTCGTTTGGTATGATAGATAAAGTTAAATAATTTTGGCATAAAAATTTAGTTTCTTTGTTTGGTTATTAATTTTGAAATAAGTTATTTCATAATTAAAGATAGTACCAAGATAATATTAGCATAACTAATATCATCGTAACATGTCCTCAAACCAAAATATAACATTTATACTTCACATAGTATTCACAATTTTTTTTCTTTTTTCTTTTATTTTTTCGGTGACTACGTAACCAAAATGATGGTCAAAGACTACGGATTCTATGTGCTCATATATCTATGATATGTTACACAAGCTTTTGCATTTGTTTGAGAAATTTTGAGCCTGGATGGGCAAATCAGCTTTTAATCACTTCTAACTTGAGTATTTGGCAATAAAAAAATGGCTTAAAAAAGGTAAAATTTGCTTTAAAAAAAAGCCAAAACCAACAAGTTGGGTAGACCTAACTTTTTCGAAATTAGCTTAAAAGCCATATTGATTTGACCAAAGATATTACATTCGTATCCCTTATATTTTTTTAATCCCGAAATTACCCCTCAGTAGAAAAAAAATTCGAAATTGCAGCCTTTGCTTTCTTCTTTCTCCCGAAATTGCAGCCTCTGCTTTCTTCTTCCTCTTCTTCCGTAACTTTCCTCAACTTCAACTCTAATTTTGAAAGCCTCTCCGGTCCACGTAAGTATAATATTCTTGTTGAATTTCAATCCCTGGTGTGTTTTCAAAGTTTTGGAATTATGAATATCATAAACAGGTCTTGGTATTAAATTTTTACCCATTAAAATTAAATACTACTATGATTTATTTCTAGGATGTACTATAGATTCTTGATTTGTGTAGTTGCCCAATTTACTCCATTTCTATATACTCTTTCATATGGTTTAATACTTAACTCCAATTTGTATGACATCATTTCTTTATTAGTCGTTCAATTTACTCTATTTTTGTCTTTTTAACAGAAAATATTGCTTACCAGTGTCACACCCCTTTTTACCCCCCAAAAGATATATGTATTTTATGGATTGTTGTGGGTTAAAGAATTTTCTCAATTAAAGTGACAAACTTGAGTACAGAATATTTTATTTACAGAGTCGCCACTTGGAATTGAGTTTTTGAGTGTTCTAAGTCACCTTTTATTTGAATCCCTAGTCAAAAGAAAGTTTGACTATATTATTATTGGTATGCGAAAACAAAGCTCGAGTAAGGAATTCTGTTGACCGGGGAGAAGGTGTAAGGCATTTCTCGAATCCCGTGGTTCTAGCACGGTCGCTTTATTAACTATATTTGACTTATATTATTTTTGGATAAACTGTGTTTTATTGGTTTTCATGTTTTATCTATCCGCTTTTATTGGTTGATTATTCGTAATTAAGGAATTATCTTGAAACGAACCATGTGTGTGTATTCATTTGTTTGGTGTCACGCGTATGTGTACACAATTAAGAACACTTTATTATTATTGAGATTGTTTCGTCAAAGTTGCGCAGACGCATACCTTGCCTTTATTTTTTGAAATCGTAACTATGTCACGCGTACATATACATAATCACGATATTAGATTTAAGAGCGCGCCTAAAACATACTATCGCATTCAATCGTCATTTCTTAAGTTTGAGATAATTGTGAGGTATGTTTATGAAATTATCGTGGAAAATTAGTATGATCTTATTGATGAAATTAATTGTCTAACGTCAAATAACATTAAGCAAGGAGTCGGAGATCACTACATTCTAGCAACATTACTAGAGTTATTAATTGGACTAGATTATGAAAATATTAGGTCAGCATGTTATCCATTTCTACGGACCCCACATAATTGAATTCCTTCTGCCCACATACTTTTAAAACCAAGCAAGTATTCGTAAGTTAAAATTTGATTTTAGTCTTGTATCGAGTAACTCAAATGGGCCCAACTTCAAATTAAATCACACGACATACTTTAATTTTACAAGAAAAGGCACTTACCCACCAGTAAAACACCAAACAAATCTTCGTGAATTCTAAACCAAGTTCAATTATAATGAAACCTTATTCACCTGATTTATTTAACAAATAACTAGAAACACACAAATTGAATCCAAAGCCATAACGATTACCACTAGATTGCAGTTGTAAAGCTAATAAAGAGAGAAACTGAAAATCAGTATAGCATCACAATAGTTTTTCAATCTAAGAACAAATCAAACCATAAACATATAAACAGTGCACCAGTAGTGTAAGCTCAACAACATTAAACATCACGCCATGCACGAAATAAATATCAAAAGTAGAAATGGACCTTGAGTGAAGTAATTTCAGATTTGCAATACATAGAGAAACTATATAAAGTTCAAATAGCAGCTATTACAACAACACTAGACCCATGATTGAAAACTTTGTTGGAACCACGAACAGATCTACGAACTACGACCTTGGCGGCGACCTCGGACTAGACTGAACGGGAAGACAAAGTTGGACCTTTGCCGCGTTTATGGGTGTATTTTAGAGGGCTAATGGTGCTGCATTTTTTATTGCTTTGGGGCTGGAATTTGCTGGCGTTTGATGCTATTTTATGGTTGTATTCGGCTGATTTTTTGAGCTTTATATGGTGGTGATTTCAACTATTTTTTCAGATGGATTTTGGGTGTTAAAGGAGTTGATTCGTGGGGAAAAGTTGCAATTTCGATTGTTTTAATAGAGTTTTTGGCTGGATTTACTATGACTGAAACTGCTGGTTTGAATGGTGTTCTTAGGTGGTGTTGGTGACTGGATTTTGACTGGTTTTTTGGACTGTTTTTGAAGCTGGAATCCGAGACCACATGTGGGGTGTTCATGGCTGATCTTTTTACGAAGGAGGAGACATGTGAGGGGTTGTGAGTGGGGACAAGCATGAGGACAAGCACGATGGATAAGAGAAAGTAGAGTGGGGACAAAGTGTGAGGGACAAATATGGGGACAAAGAAAAGTGGGGTAGGGACACGAGGTAAGATGGAGTGAGAAGTGAGGTATTGGTGATATGAATGAGAAAAAATTCAAGCATGATAAAAAAATTAGGTGCTTATAACAAATACTTGTTTATCAAACACTGCAATAATTTTTTTTAAGTTTCTAACACTTTTATACAAATATGTAACTATTTAATTATAAAATAAGTTCATCCAAATAAAAAGTATTTTTTTTTTTACTAATCCAAACATGCTCTTTATTTGATGGGAGACTCAACCAACAAAAGTTGGGTGAGTGCATATGCTATGCTTGACAAGTGTTTTAGGATGGGTCCCACTTGTCAAATCTCTCTCTCTTCTTCCGTACCATCTCCTTGTCTCGTCTTTACATCACATCTTTTTTTTTCCCTTCATTGTTAAATTTTTCTTCCTCTTAGTCTCTGTCTCTTGAGTTTCTATCTTACCTATTCCTTCTTTGTTGTTCCTTTTCTACTCTTTTTCTCTATCAATGTTTGAAGTGCTAGAAGTAGAAACAGAATTTAGCAAAGGAGGAAAAGAATTACGAAAAAACAAAAGGGAGGAAGGGAATTGATTTGGGGCAGGGGGCAGGAAGTCCTCGTGAAATGGAAATAAGGAAGAAGGAAGCAAGAGGATTTTGGGGTTACAAAGAAGAGAGAAGAAAGAGTAAACGAGAAATCAACAAAAAGTCATGGGCCCCAAAATACACTTGTCTCATTCAAATAAAATTTCACCATTTGTTTGATAGGTTTCTTTAAGTCTTATTCAAGCAAAGAAGGGAGCTAATTTTCTTCAACTTTCTATCCGTTTCCTTAATTTCTTTCTGCCAATCAAACGTTGAGGGAAAAAAAAAAAAAAGGAACAAAAGAAGAAAAGAACAAAAAAATTCACTCTCTTTTTTTCTTGACCAATGTAACATAATTCTTCATTTCTTTACTATACAGTGATAAAAGGGATAAGTTAGTTAAACATATGCATCACTCTAATATCACGAAATTTAAACAATTAATTCAAGAATTTAAAGGAAAAAAACATTACCTCCCATGAATATCATGCCAAATTCCATAATGCTAACATTGATACAAACAGTT